CATGTCCTTGCCACCCAAACTTCCCCATCCCACTGACCCATCCATCATCTACTTTCTGACACAGACTGGGAAGCATTTTCTAGAATTGCCTATAAATGGAATTATGTACTCTTTTGCTTCATTCATTCAGCTTATTGAGGAATTACCCAAGTTGCACAATCATAATGCATTTAAGTGGGTTGGGCTTTATAATGACATTTACCAAAACCACATAGGTCTAAAACCCAGAAGCCTTCACAACAGTTTTCCAATGATCTTACAGACAAGTTCTGACAAACTTTAAAGAATGTCTAATTTCTCATTTTCAACCAGTCTTGGAGCATTGGGGAAGGGAAAAGATAAGCTTCCAAATTTCTTAATGAAGCTAACACAACCCATCTAAAACTCTGACAAAGAGGAAATCTCCTTGCAAACTACAAAGAATTTATTTACCAAAATGTTCATAATTAAAAGGGGAGGATATGTAGACCATGTACCCCACACCCCAACTGTAAACACTAAAGAAGACTTTAGGTAAAACATTAGCTAATGGAAACTCCTAAGAATCTATAAGGTTGACCCTAGCTAAGACTCCTAATAACAGAGGATATGAAGCCTGAATTGGCTGTCTCCTATAACAGGCTTCCAGTGGAGGGATTGGGATACCAACCCAGCCATAAAACCTTTAACCTACAATTTTCCCTACTTATAAGATGTGCTGTAATAAAGGTGGCGCAGACATCGTGGAAGTGGCCAACCAATAGCTGGTCCAGCTTGAGATCCATGCCATGAAAAGGAACCCAACCCTGTTACTGCATGGAGGGCCAGGAACCAGAACTTGGATGGCCCAGAGACCCAGGATAAAAGCAAACACAAACAGCAAAAAAAGAGTCAATGAAAAGATCCCTAATGGTATTCTGCTATACTTGTAGACAGGCGCCTAGCATAATCGTCATCAGAGAGGCTTCACTGAGCAACTGGTGGAAACAGATGCAGAGACCCACAGCCAAACATTAGGAGGAACTCTGGGAATCCTGCAGAAGAGGGAGAGGGAAGACTGTATGAGCCAGAAGGTCAAGGACACAAGAAAACCCACAGAATCAACTAACCTGGGCTCATAGAGACTGAACTGACAATCAGGGAGCCTGCATGGGACTGACTTAGGCCCTCTGCATATGTTACGGCTGTGTACCTTGGTCTTCTTGTGGGACTCCCAGGGGCTGTTTCTGACTTTTAGTTGCCTTTAGGACCCTTTTCCTCCTACTGGGTTGCCCTGTCCAGCCTTAATACAAGGAGTGGTGCCTAAACTTACTGCAATTTGATATACCATGTTTGGTGGATATTCATGGGAACCCTGCCCTTTTCTGCACAGCAGAGGGGGGCTGGGAGAAGCGGAAGGAGGGGAAAGTGAAATTGGGATGTAATACATGGGAGAATAAAGCTTTAAAAAAGAACTAACAATAAAACAGAAAATAAATTTAGAGATTAAAAAAGCAGAGATTAAATTTCATTAAAACAAAGGATGATACAAAAATACACTGATGCCATTTATTAAAGGATTGAAAGGGATGGTTTTAAAAGGATTTCTCAAAAGTCATCATTCATCCATTCATTCCTAGTTTAAACAAATCTTTATGAACTAAGAATAGAAATTTCCTCAATTTCATGGTTAGCTGTAATTTTATCTCTTTGTTGTCCAAAGATTTAGACAAATGGATGTACCTTATCAGAGAATAAATTTCTTTCCACTGTAAATTTTTTGAAAAAATTTATTTTTAAAAGATCATACATGTATACAGTGTGTTTTGGTTCACCTAACACTCCTCCCCCAACTCCTCTTAGATCCATCCCCCACCCGTCTAACTACTTTCCCAATTCCATGTTGTTGTTTTTGTTTTTAAATGTGCATTGAGTCCAATTTGTGATGTCCATATATACATACACCATTGTGGAGCCATTCACAGAAGCATGGTCTACACTACCAGCGGTCACAAGAGAGAGGGGGTAGGGAGGGGAGAGAAAGGGGAGTGGAAAAAAGACAGGAGAAGAGAGGAGAGAGAGGAAAGAAAGGAGAGAGAGAGAGAGAGAGAGAGAGAGAGAGAGAGAGAGAGAGAGAGAGAGAGAGAGAGAGAGAGAGAGAGAGAGAGATTTCACCTGAAGAACATGCCTGCACAGAACATTTTTGGGAATGGAATCTTGTAATGGAATATTTGGTAAATCTTTATATAATGTTCCATTGCTCTCTGACCCGTGTCCTTATGAGTTCCCTAGCCCTTGCTTCTTTGCTAGGTCTACAGCCCCAGGAAGAACAAGGTCCTAAATCTGATTGACTAGCTCATGGCTTAGAGACAGGTGTTGTCTCTAAGACCAACATTTCCCTGCCCTGAGGCTCTTCAAGGTCAATCCTGTTTATGCCATATTGTCTCAAGAACCTGGTTTGACATTGTGCTGTGATGACCCGTGTCCTTATGAGTTCCCTAGCCCTTGCTTCTTTGCTAGGTCTACAGCCCCAGGAAGAACAAGGTCCTAAATCTGATTGACTAGCTCATGGCTTAGAGACAGGTGTTGTCTCTAAGACCAACATTTCCCTGCCCTGAGGCTCTTCAAGGTCAATCCTCTGTTTATGCCATATTGTCTCAAGAACCTGATTTGACATTGTACTGTGACAGGATTAATTTGATAATGGGAGGAAACAACTGCCAATAGAATATCATAATCAAGTCATTTGTATCTTTTATTTAATGTGTGTAAAGGCTCCACATGCATTCAGGTGCCCAGCGAGGCTAGAAATGGGTATCAGATCTCCTAGGGATAAAGTTAAAGGAATTGTGAGCTGCCCGATATGAGTGCTGGGAACCAAACCCTGGTCTCAAGAGCAGCAAGTGATCCTTACCATTGAGCTATCTCTCCAAACCTCTATGTGTATCTTCTTGCTCATCTGAATTATTTTGTTACTCCCCCAAATGATGCTCATGCCTCTGAATTATTCTGATCTTTTCAATATGGCCAAAAACTACCCATTTGTTTTCACTTGTTTTTCTTTTAAATTCACAGAGCTTAGCTAAGTAAAAAGGGCAGAAAAAAAATGCAAAATACATACAAGTTTTCGGTTCTGATTTAAACCATATTTTTGGCAAGGACTTCAGGCTAATTTCTAGGCATAAATTGGTACAGTGATAAAAGATTCACGGATGTCAGCAGGCAGTGGTGGCACATGCCTTTAATCCCAGCACTTGGGAGGCAGAAGCAGGTGGATCTCTGTGAGTTGGAGACCAGCCTGGTCTTTAAGAGCTAGTTCCTGGACAGGCTCCAAAGCCACAAAGAAACCCTGTCTCGAAAAACCAAAAAAAAAAAAAAAAAAAAAAAAAAGATTCTCTGATGCAATCCCATTCTTTCTCTATCATTATTAATCAAACAAACACTTGAAACTTTTCTTAATGCAGTGTTGTGTAAAGACTAATCATTTTACGTGCATGAACATTTTGTGTTGACTATAAAGTCTTAATACAGTATTGTAATTCCCCCATTTACATTATGAATGCCAGTGTTGTGTCACCATCAACTGTCAAGGTACTTTCCCAAGGTACTATGCCCAATTATTATTGGCTAACTTATATGGTTGCCTGGATTTTTTTTTTAAATCAGTAAATGTGGCTTATCTCTGGAAGACAGTATTATCAAGTTTTTTTCTTCTTTCTTGAGATCTAATTTCCTACCTACTCTCCTACACAACCACTAAAAAATACGAATGTTCCTTTCACTTACAACAACAACAAACATATATTACTTGGTAACTTTGTAATTTGTTTTTGTTGATCTTGTTTGTTTTTAAGAATTGGCTCTCCCTGTGGGAACCTGAGTCTTCATCTGTTTCTGTCTATAAACCTATATGCCTACTGTGATCTTTGTGCCTCTAAATGTCTTAATCTGATTTAAAAACTTTTAAAAATGACTCTCCTTCAATTGCACTCAAACCCTATTATTTGAAAAGTTAACTTGCCTAACAATCACTATCCATATCGCCTCTCCCCCACCATGTCCTTAATGCCCAATGATTGTATATTATACTTCTGTGCTTGCTCTATTGCTATACCCAGGTACAATCTTCAAACAACACAAATTTATTCTTGCAGTGCTATAGGACAGGGATTAGATACTGGTTTCCCAGGCTAATCTCAAAACACCAACAGAACCATCCCTAAAGGAGAATGCATTTGTGCCATCTCTAAAGGAGAATGTAACTATGCCTAAGTCACCTACATTCCTTACCTATGGCTACTTTCTCTATAAAAGCCAAAAACAGCAGATAAGTTTTTTTTTTTTTTTTAATTTGTGAGTGCTGCCTGCATGTATGCCTGTATGCCAGAAGAGGGCATCAGATTCCATTATAGATGGTTGTGGGCCACTATGTGATTGCTGGGAATTGAACTCGGGACCTCTGGAAAAGCAGCCAATGCTCTTAACTGCTGACCCATCTCTCCAGCCCTGCAGACATGTCTTTCTTACAATGCAATCCTCTGACATCTTTTACTCTCTTCTTCCATTTTTAATGGCCTTACGATTAAGTGACCTAATGACCACCCAAATAATTCAGGATCATCTCTCCTTCTTCAGACTTTTAACACAAACATTTTAAGATAGTCTCAAGGTTATAAAGGCTGGCCTCAAATTCACATTACTCCTGCCTCAGACTTCCAAGTGCTAAGATTCTGAACCACATTTTAATTTAAAACATCTGCAATGTACTATGATTTCTTATGACCTAGAAAATAAAGTATCCACAGAATCACTATATACATGTCTGTGGTGAGAATCAAAGTTTGTGGAACAAAAAGATGGTTCAGTGGGTAAGTACACTTTGCCTCCAAGCCTGATGACAAAGTTTGTCCCTGGGACCCACACAGCAGAAAGAGGACCAACTCCTAAAATATGGTCTCAGCATCCACATGTGACATGGCATGCAGGCACATGCACACACACACACACACCAAGAAATACACAAAACACAACACAAATGAAGGTAATCTTAAACATTTCCTAAATATTTATTTACAAAAATAAAGCTTTCATTTTGAACCATCCAAAGTAGAAATAGCACCAATACTCTTCTAACATTGTCCTATCCATTCAATCTTTTCAATTTGGCTTTATATCTTTTCTGACTCCAGGACAGGAGAGCAATGCTTGATGAACTCAAGTCATACCCAACATGTACCAACTCTTTCATTCGAGTTTTTAAAGTATTAACGCTTGCATCCAAAACTCTAGGATTTTCAATTATTTGTGAAATGCTGACTTTTTCTTCTATGAGGCAGTCTATTTTCTCATTGAACTTTTTCTCTGACAAGAAGACCATGTTCAGATAGCTTAGGACAAACTTCTGTACCTCCTCATCAGAGCATCCAAGAGAAAGCAGCTTCTCTCGGATATTTGTGTAGTTTCTTTTGGTACACTCATTGGAAAGATCGAGGATTCCAGCTCCTGGACCACATATCAGAAGCAGCAGGTCCTCCTTGTTTAAGTTGAACGTTGACTGTAAAAATTCAATGTTCGTTTTTACCCGTTTGGTGCTCTGAATCAAGATGGAAGGATTTTTAGAAAGTATCTTCCTGACAAAAGCTCTGGGATCATTGTGACCTAAGGACACACTGGTCTCCTGCAAAAACTCAACCATTTGTTTATTCAAATTCAGGCTATTGGAGAAAGTCCTAGGAGCACTGGTCAACAGCCGGCAGAGGCTTTTGTTAGTCAATCCAACAGAGCAGAGGAACTCTATATTATTCTCTAAGTTCAGGTTGTTATCAGACCGAAAAAAGGATTCAGGAGAACGCTCCAAAATATTTATTATTTCAATGTCTGATGCCGTAATCTTTCTCCACAGCTCCCACCGTTTTGAAAGACCTTCAGAATTGCGTGTTATGGCTCGTGGGTATCTTGATATGATATTACCAATCATTTTGTCACTGGCTCCTTTGGACAGAAGGAATACTTTCAGTTCCTGCTCATTTGTAGCTATCCTGTTAAAAACTCCAGGCTGTCGTCTCCTTGCCATGGCAATATCAACTCCCATGGTGAGTAAGTTGTTCAGTAGGTCCGCATTCTCCAAAGGCTCTCTGTGACTGTTATGTTTCACAGTAAAAGGCCTAAATGAAACTGCTTTCAGGAAAATTTCTGCTGAATATTGGGTCATCCAACCTCTTGAACCAAAGAGGAAGCTCCTTCCCACACACCAGATGTTTCTTGATGCCATAATCATCAGATAGCCCAAAGGTTTTCAAATGCTGTGTAAAGTAACATGTAATGTTAACATATAGTATTATATGAGTGCCTGTGTTAAATAGCTGATGACAATATTATGATCCTTTAAGAACAACAGGCCTTTCCAGAAGAAAATACCTAGTCCTTCCACATTCCTGGTTCTGCACTCATGCTGTGTGCCACTGCTTCTGCTGGATACCTATGGACACAGGACTCTACGACTTCCAATACAAAGAAGCAGAACAGCACCACTATTGCTCATAATTGCCCTGCCCTTTTCTTGTTCTCTTTACTGCATTGTGCCTACTTTACTATGCAGAATCAGTTCTCCTCCATCTCTTTTCTGGTTCCTACATCTTTGCTTGTTCCTAATAAATGGCATTTCATTTTCACTATCATCTTGCCTTTCAACCTGCCAGATGTCTGACCTAACCTTGACCAGACACTGGACTGCTTTGCTTCTGGTCGCCTTGATTTCAAACTCTGAATGCAGCCCTGAAAAACAATACTTCAGATTGTCTAATTCCCATCTTTAGTGTCTTTTTCCAGATTTATGGTACCCATTAAATGGATCACATTGATTCTTAGCTTATTTACATCTCTGGACAACTGCTAACATTAACCTCTACCTCAGTTTACCAAATAGTTTCCTAGATTACAATGCAGTATTTCTAAGCTAATGTCCGTCTTCAGAATTATATAGTTGAGTGGATGGAGTGTTCAGGGTAGTCAGTGGAACAGCACATACTTAGCAGGCATGAGGACTTGAGTTCAATCCCCAACACCAAAAAGAAGGAGGAATTGGTTTTCTAATTTAAGGGTTGCCTGGTCTTAAATCTGGGATAAGTGGCAACTGAGGTGCCTATTTAACATATAAAAACCGATCTGACTGCCAGGTTCTCCCAGCATCCCTCAGTCCCTACCTGTTACAGGTTGGCATACCCCACCCTTACCCTGAATGCTCCAGCCCAGGGGCTGGGCTGCCCTTCCCTATATAACCCATCTATTTTTACTATGGTTCCCCTCTATCCCCTCCCTTCCTCCTCTCCTCACATGGCCCAGCTCAGTCTGCTAGTCATGTCCACCCTGAACTCTTCTCCATGCCTCTGGTTTTCTCAGCCTCATAGCTACAATAAACCTTCTTGGCCATACCTAGGAGCAGTCATATCCTCCTTTTCTTTCTTTTTTTCATTCAGGAGTGACTCCTAGTGGGCCAAACACTCTGATGGTGGCTGTATACCCAAAGGAATACATGTAAATCTAATTGAACTCAATGGAGAGAGGAGGGGGGGGGGCAGACAGACAGACAGAACACAAAGTTGAATGGTTATGGAATGGGACATCGATACCTTACCTTACCTAGGAGCAGTCATATCCTTCTTTTAGTTCTTTTCTTCATGAGTGACTCCTAGCAGGTCAAACACTCCAATGGTAGCCGCACACCCAAAGGAATACAGGTAACTCTAATTGAAGTCAATGGGGAGAGAGAGAGTACCCAAAGTTGAACGGTAATGGAATGGGATATAGATCTAGGAGGAGTTGGAGGAGAGGGTGGATATGATCAAAATTCTCAAGTAATAAAAAGAAACATAGCAAAACAAAAAGAATAAAGGCTCTATCTAGCTTGTACAATTCAACCTTTTCCCTTCCAGACACTCATGGGTGACCTCTGCTGGAGAACAGGACTGAACAACAACAATCAAGGTTAAAAAAAAAAAATCTGTTCGGGTTTCTGTGAGTCTGTCAAAGTCGAATTTGTTTCTCTTTAGATAACTTATCCTCAAGCAAATACCTTCTAAGAAAATCAACATGCCCAAGACTGAACCGCACATGTCTGCAGCCCCAAACTCTCCTCTGATTAATGCCATTTGAGACAAGCACCACGAGGACGAGGGCTTACTTCTTTTCTTACCCCTACCATCATCAAAAACAGTAGCAAAGCAATCTTGCTCTGAACTTCCCAGCCCCTTGCAATCTCTTTGTCTTTCCTGCCTTTTCATTATTTTTAGTTGACATAGCAAATAATGGGCTTCATTAGATATAACATACATGACACATATGTGTGTGTACTTTGCTTACATGGCACACACCACTGGTCCTCTTCCTCCTCCCAAAGCCTCTTCTGCTTCCATGTCACACACATGCACACAGACATACAGCTCATATAAATCTAAATTCCACATTAGAAACATGTCCTACTGCTTTTTATCATAATTCTTATTCCCCTGTCCCCTTCTTGTTAGACCCCCCTCCCCAGCAGTACTTTATACTTTGATATCAACACACACACACACACACACACACACACACACCAACCTCTTCTGAGTTTCACTTATATTGTTATAATTGTCTCTTCTTTCAGATAGGGTGAAACTCTAAAATCCTAGCTGTACAGCAAAGTTCTACATAAACACAAGTTCCCTTTTACAACAGATTTTTTGGGGGCTGAATTTGTAACCTCTGGCAGGGTGACTGAACAGCCTACTGCAACTTTTTGAAGTAAATATCGAGTAATTTATTTCAATCTTACCCTGAAAAAAAAACCATTTTCTTAAGTAATGTTAAACTTAGTAAATATCATGAAAAGTCTTGGTGACTGAGTGAGGTCTAAGGAGGGAGACTTATGTTTCCTTCTGCCCCACAGACGGACAGCTAATGAATGGGCTGTTGAAGACAACCCTAATCACTGGCAGTGGGGTAGCGCAACGCGGCTAATCTCTTGACACAGCATTTAAATGTAAAGTTTTTGTTTTGTTTTACAGAACTACATCTCCACACCGTCTTCGTCGTCTTAAGAGAGGAAACTTTTGGATCTCTCCAGAAAAGGTAAGGGGCAGATGTCTCCACCACCCTCACACAGCTCCTATCCGGAAAAGAAAAGGCAAATTGCCACCAGCGAGGGAGGGAATAGAGATGAAGGCTGGCTGGACACGTTTGACGCACTATCTCCGGCATAACTAAAGCTTTCTCGGCCACGGTGAGAAGGAAGCAGCGACTACCCGGCCTCCCGACGCCATCCGGGGGGACGGGCAGCGGAGTCGCAACGGCTCACACGCAGTTCCCTCTTAACCCGCACAGGCACAAGCGCGTAAGGGGTGGGCGCCGTCCCTAAACTTACAGACTCTCGGGCGACCCGAGCCCCGCTGGGGCCGGAGAGCAGAGCACATGGCGAGCCCCCACCCTTCCGGCGCCGCGATCCCTCGTCGCAGGCCGTCCTTCCCCCCGGCGCAATTACGCAGTGGCCGAGGCGCGTAGCAGACGCACGCCTCCCGCTCACAAACACCGCGGCGGCTCCCGGTCTCTCCCCGGGCCACACCGCGCCCACGCTCCGTGCAAAAGCTCGCGGCGGACACCTCCCACTTCCGCTCCAGAAAGCCCGGGAAGGCTAGGAGGGCGGAAGTAAGGGCTGACCTTTCGGCCTCCGGCAGCGCACGGGGTGACGCCATCGTCCTGCGCCCCCCAGGCGGCGCGCCTCCTTCCTGGCTGATCATACAGCTTTAGCTCAGCAGGGGGCGGCCGGAGACCACGAAGGATGCCGGCGCTTGCCTGCGGAGAGGCTTTGGACCACACGGTGGTGCCACGGCTTCCCCCTTGCTGGGGCTGGCATCCTGTCTGTACCAAGAAACAGTCTGCCTTTTGGATCTCAAGCTTCTCTTCTTAGGTTGCTTTGTAGATCGTTGAATCCTTTTGCATTGTTCCCGTCTGGTTTGGTGTTTGTAAGAATAAAGATTTCTCTTTGGGAATTTAAATTGCTAATAGTTTACGTGGTAAGTGAAACTGCCAGTGGTCCCACGTCTACCTGAATATTTTTTGCTCTACATGCGTGTTCCAAGCAGCTGGGTTTTGTTTTGTTATTATTGTTTTGTGGTGGGTTTTTTTTTTTCAACACCAGAACAGGCTTAAGTCCCTGTGAAAATGACGTCATTGAGGAAAGTGTAGCTGAGATACTGGAGAGTTTGGAGAATAGGAAGATCAAAGGCAGGCAAGGTGAGGCACAAATAAGAAAAGGATTAATAATGTCCCAGCAGACAGAGCCAATGAAGTAGATAATCAATTGAGGTCACCCCGATGCTGAAAACCTTAAGTGATGAGGCAACAAAATTTGTATCAGAGAATAATAGTTACCAGCAGAAAACACCACAGGTAATTTAAGCACCGGGGCAAGTGTATGCAGACTCATGCTGGAGGCAGCAGACTACAGAAGCAGATTTAACAAGGAAGAAACATTCTACTTGAGGGTAACGGTAACTGTCATAATACTCTAGGACCACATACATCCAGTGTGAGCATTTGCAAAACTTCCAAAACTGGTATGAAAAATTGAAATAAAGTTCTTAAGGACCAACCTCCTAATGGTGTAGAAGGTCTTCTGAGTGCTCTCAGGTATACAACAAAGCATGTGAATGATGAGACTACCTCCAAGCAAATTAGCTCCACGCTGCAGTAGGAGCCGAGGTGCAGCATCATTCTTCGGTGACCAAGAAGGCAGTCATTAGAGATCACCATTAAATCTCCTTATTCTTGCTTCGGTTTCTTTCCTCTGTTTCTCTTTCTACTTTAAATCATGTTCTTGCTCTTAAGACTGCTTTCTGTGCCAAAATCAGTAAAGATATACGTGAAAGGGATTCTGTCCTTTAAAGCAGGCCATCTAAGGCGGTTAATTGTGCATTGCATTGAGATCTCTACTGAGAAAAGTAGAGATCTGTGACTTGAACTAAATATTTTTAAATGTGGATTCTTTTTTGGAAAGCTAATATTTAATATTGCTTCTCCTGCATTCCAAAACTGCCTCATCTGCTACTTAAAACCCTCATATATTTATTCTCTACTGTTGCTTTTACATGTCCAGCCAAATGAAATGTTTAAATTAGCTGTGTTGTACAAATGGTATCCAACACAAACATTTTAAAATTAGTGTGACTTTTTTTAAAGTTTAATTTTGCATTTTGGCTTTTTTGTAAGGATGTATGTTGTGTGCTTAGACTTTATTTAAAACATTAAAAACTGTGTGCATATAATATTGTGTATACATGCACGTCCATGTTTAAGAATGACTTTGATAAAATAACAATCGGCTTTTCTTAGAGAAAAAGAAAAAAAGAAAATCACAACTAAAAGCAATATGGTAGGGTGTTTTCAAGACATTGTCCTGAAGTTCTCATCTGTTTTAGTTCTTCATGATGACTAAATCAACTTTATGTAAAAGTTGTGTTACTATGCAAGAGTCTTTCTTTTAGGTCTCTTTGTTACTGTGCAAGTGTCTCTCTTTTGGGTCTCTTTTCTGAAAGGATGGTATTGTGTGATGATGCTTATGGTTTTTAGATGATGTCATTTGGAAGGAGGAGAGTAGAGAAGTCTACACCAAGGTCAATCCCTCCCTAAAATTAGACTTGAAACACTCCAGAATAGGTTGGATCTGAAGTTCAAATATTAAGTTTATGTTATTTTCAGAATTGCCTCTTCCCTCTTATAACCAAATATTAATAATTATATAATAACATTGATTAATAATAACTGTTTTGCCTGATATACCTCCCTGACTAACTTTTAAGTTCACTGTCCCTTACTCCAGTGTTCAAGTATCAACAAACCCAATTACAGTCAGAAAGAAATTAGCTCTCCATTCAAGTAAGAGCACACCCAGTTAAAATACCACCATCCACAGACTCTAGGATTTAGTAAACAAATGTCCTTTCTACCTCCTCCTCAATTACTCAAATCTTCCATTTTCCTGTGTTTTCACTTAAGGTGGTTGTCTTAAGGTTTATTCAGCTTGTGATTCCATATCATAGTTCATCCTCAAAGGAAGTCAGGACAGGAACTCAGACGGGACAGGAACCTGGATCAAGGGGCCGATACTGAGGCCATGAATGAGGGTAACTTACGGATTGGTTTTTCGTGCCTTTCTCAGCCTGGTTTCAACCAGGCCCACCAGCCCAGATATAGCACTATCTCTAATGGGCTGGACTCTCCCCTATCATTCACTAATTAAGTTAATGTCCTATACACTTGCCTACAACTGTTATTATGGAGGCAATGTTTCTCAATTGAGGCTCCCTCCTCTCTGATGATTAGCTTATGTGAAGTTGGCATAAAACTATCTAGCATAATCATCAAGGGAACTTAGCTCTACCAGAAATGTTCTATAATCTTGCATATGAAAACTGTACGAAACCTTGAAGTCAGTTCAAGACCAAATTCTCAGAACAAAGATTTATTTTCCCCACAGGGACAAAGGGAAGGGGATAAGAGATGAAGACAAGAGATAGAGGACAAGGGAGAAAGTGTTAGGAACAAGGGAGAGGGGGAAGGGTTATTTGTCCCAGAGGAACAAAGGTCTGCCTCTGGATAGAGACAAAACAGAAGAGCCAAGGGAAACCTTGTGTTAGGATGAGATGTTTAATTTTAACTGGGCATGTTAATGAGGTGAGCCAAAGGAGACCTTTGATTAATGGACGTCGATACTTTGATAGCTGGATCTTAGTGGTCAGCCTCAGCAGGAGGAAGGGGGCAAGCCAGGATGGACTTTGGTGCCCATCTTTAGGCTTTTAGCAAGGAAGTGGGAATGGGGGGGAAAGGGCAAGGTCTGACAGAGCAAAGTTTGCCATGCTCCAAAAACTCTCCTCAGTGTTGTGGTTGATTAAAGTGGTAAAGTTACTGAGAGGGTTTCAAGTACTTAAGATACTGGAAACCAAACAAAAGAGCTAGCTCAATTCCCTTCCCTTTGAATACAATTGCTTTCTAATGGCCCCACAGCCCTACAGAATTTACTCTGGGCAACCTACGCTCTCTGGAAGTGCCTAACTGGAGTCTAGAAAGACTCCTCAGGTCTGATTGTTTAATATAACAAAGGCCTGTGGCAAAACCTGGACACTGGCTTGGGAAATTTGCTGACTGCCAACCTGAAGAGATCCTGGATTCTGATAGGAGTTAGGCTCACAACATAAGCAGAACAGAATTGGCCAAGAGAAACAGAATGATCCTTTGAAATTCTATTCATCAGTATGAGTTTAAATACCTGTGGCATGTTTTGACCCTACAGAACTATGCCTTTACCACTGATGAATTTTCGATCTTGGTATAGAATCGATCTCAGCAGAGAGATGGACAACAAATACTAAGAAGGATGACAGTTTCTTTGTTCAATTATTTATCATATGTTTTAAAATTCTACTCTTAAAGACTTATTTTTCATTTTTATAGTGTATTAGTTGTGTATTTAAATGCTCCAAAAGAGGAACCATTAAGCTATTGGTAGGAAATTTTTCTACAATGGGCCAGCTGGTTATTGTTGCAAGCTTTCAAGGTCATTTATATATTTATATGCTATTATTTTATTCATTCCTTCTCTGTTTTTAACCCTTTACTGTTTTCTTCACGTGTGTCTGTGTCTGTGTCTGTGTCTGTGTCTGTGTCTGTGTCTCTACACATAGGTCTATGCAAGTGCCCTCGGGAGCCAAAAAAGGGCATCAGGTCTCTGAAACATTATCAAGTTTACTTCTTTTATATTTATGTATAAATACGAATCATCATTCCAATTTATGTAAGTCTGAGAATTCTGTTTAACCATTGTAATTCTAAATGCATTTTATCTGGGTTCAAATGACTTCAATATATATATATATATATATATATATACATATTATATATATATATCCCTGGTGCACACAAAACCCAAAATTAGCAAGTCTCCCACTAAAGAAATCTGCGTCAAAGAAAAATGTAGACTGTTACAGCGTTTACATATACTTATCAGCAGCATCCTCATCTCACACTGTTAAACTGACTGCCTCACATTTTTCTTTCTTCTGAATGGTCCCCCAGACTCTTCTATTGTTTTATCGAATTTCAACTATGTCCTGTCTCCATACTGACATCTCTAACACCAGCATGAGTCACAACAAAATAATTTTTCATCTAGGCCCCTGCACTGTTGTAGTAGTGGGGAATACTCCGCTATGGCAAAATCTTTTTTCCCAATAAAACGGGTTGTTAACCTGTTTTTCAGAGAAAGTAAGCATGAAGAGCTTACATAATTAATCTTCTATCATACAGCTAAAATGTATGCAGAAACCAGAGTCTTAGACCAGAACCAAG